TGTACAACCTTAAAACTATGGATAAATTGCAAAGAAAAAGAGTCAATGGGGAACTTGAGGAGGAAAATACTTTAAGAATAAAAAATGCCATGTGAATTTTCTTTTTCAGAATTGGTATAAAAATTCTGAAGGAGAAACTGCTACTCAACTAGGATAGCATCCACATTTTCTTGTGTGAGCTCTGACTCTAAGGCACAAGGCACCTCTAAATGCTCTTGCAACAAGCGAGAACTTTTCAGGGAGATGTCAGACCAGTTGTCACAGTATGGCTGAAATCTCTGGCCCAACGCATTGCTAAACCTTTGGCAACGATTGTATCTGTAAGATTTACCTTTGTGTATAAACATGTGTTCCAACAATTGGCTCTTTCGAAGAAATTTATGACCACAGATGGTACAGCTGATTTTTCTTTTCCTTGAAAAGGAAAAATTACAGTTTAATTCTACTGGCTCCGTGTCTTTGGAGATCAAAGATACTTGACTGATCTGCAAAGGCTCTGTGGTACCCCGGTTTGAGTGGTCAGGCTGCTGATCATTTTCCTTGACGATGAAGGAGCTGAGCCTGCGGCATTCAAGAGCCTCGCTATTTTCATTAAGTGGATGTACTTCACCAAGGTCATTACTTTCCAGAATGGAAGCAGGGACACCGAATGGGAGGGATCCAGATACATGTGTATGGAGATGTTGTCTTAGGTTACTACGGGAATCAAAACGTTCCCCACAGTAATGGCATAAGTGTATTTTGATACTGTTTTCAGTAAAAGTGGGGCCTGTTACCTCTGATGAGGATGAGGGATGGTTCTGGGAGATCACTGATTCCGGGTCACATCTCTCCTGCTTGATGGACACTGCGGGCTTCTGGTGCTCCTCCAAGGTCTGGGTAGCAGGATGGGTCCTCTGCTGGTCTGCAGTGCCATCATCTAGCCCAATAGCAAGAGAGAGCTGCAACTGGGGGTGGTCACCCTGGACAGTAGCTCTGTTTCCACTATTATTGGAAGCGGCTTCTTTGACCTCCAGCCCTTGTTTGACAACTGGTTTTTGGGTCGTTGAGATCTGAATGCCATACAAATTTGAGGACTGCACAGTCTCTGGTGAGAACACTTGATTCATTTCAGTTGCAATGTGAGAAAGGTAGTCGGCGTGAAGAAATCGAATCCCTTCCTCCAAACGACTATGATCCACAATCTGTTTTGGTCCTTTCCCGGTGTACATAATGTGCAACAAATAGCTGAATATGTCAGGTTGGATGTCAGTTGGTTGTATTTTTATGCATTCACTGTTAAAAACAAAAACAGACCCACAGAAAATGAAACATAACCTAGTTGGCCTTTTAGTTTACAGCATAGTCTTAGGCTAAAGCAATTTCTTCCTAGCAATCTGCCTTGATGAAACATGACCACAAAAGCTTAAATCTTCAAACTTTCATTTTATACCAATTTTACTGCCCAACAATAAGTCCTGATGGGCCGGGTGCGGTGGCTCGTGCCTGTAATCCTAGCTCTCTGGGAGGCCGAGGCGGGCGGATTGTTTGAGCTCAGGAGTTAAAACCAGTCTGAGCAAGAGCGAGACCCCGTCTCTACTAAAAATAGAAAGAAATTAATTGGACAACTAAAAATATATAGAAAAAATTAGCTGGGCATGGTGGCGCATGCCTGTAGTCCCAGCTACTTGGGAGGCTGAGGCAGGAGGATCGCTTGAGCCCAGGAGTTTGAGGTTGCTGTGAGCTAGGCTGACGCCACGGCACTCACTCTAGCCCGGGCAAAAGAGTGAGACTCTGTCTCAAAAAAAAAAAAAAAAATATTCTGATTAGTTCAACATTGACACTAATCGAGTGACTCCTAAGCGACGTGCCCTAAACTAGGTGCCAGGGGGTAGAAAAATAATGAATAAAATAGGTACCCTGCTCTTAAGGAATTTAACAGTCTATTGAGTATTATAACCAAAAGTACTGAAAACAGGTACTCAAACAGATACCTGTATACCAATATTCACTGAAGCATTATTGATAGTAGCCAAAAGGTAGAAACAACCCAGGTGTCCATCAAAAGATGAATGAATAACCAAAATGTGGCATGTACATATAATGGAATATTATTCGGCCAGAAAAAGGAATGAAGTTCTGATACATGCTACAACATGGATGAACTGAAAACCCTGAAACATTATGCTAAGTAAAATAAGCCAGACAAAAAGGAAAAATATCATATAAAATATCCAGAATAGTCAAATTCATATAGACAGAAAGTAGATTAGGTTTCTGGGAACTGAGGGTGAAGGGATGAGGAGTTATTGCTCAATGGGTATAGAGTGTCTGTTTGCGGTGATGAAAAAGTTTTGGAAATAGATAGGGGTAATGGTTGCACAACACTGTGAATGTGATTACTGCCACTATATTATATAATTAAAAAAATGGTAAAAATGGCAAATTTTATATTTATATATATTGCCACAATAAAAATGTTTAAAAATTTTAAACATAATCTATTAAAATTGATAATATTTAAAAATTATGCTAACCTTATTTTTGCTTCCAAAATATATTAATATATCTATTCTTTAAATCACAAATCAATATATTACTAGGTATAATTTTGAAAAGCTTTAAAATAATCCTAAATTCAATTTTTACATATGAATATAGAATTCAGGTAATAGATGGAAATAATTGCATAACAAGAAATCAGAAAACCCCTTGCAAAATTGGAATAGAGACAACCTGAAGGAAATGTTGGATATCAAGGAAGAATGCAATCAATCAGTCAATGGCTTACCTTCCATGGAGCAGAAGTTTGTCACAATGCACTGGGTGTCAGTAGGATGGCAATCCATTTCTTTAGTCCTGATATCTCTTCCTCTTGGGTTCCACTCTTAGCTCTGTCCCACCCATCTACATGGTCTGTAGCAGGGTTGTTTTTTTTTTTGGATATCAGTTCAGAGTTCTGCTAATATGATTTTTAGTTGCTCAACACAGATACCACATAGCAGGCCAGCCACTTTTGTATCTCTTTGGTTTAATTTAGCATTGTCCCTGGCACACAATACGTGCTTTGAGAGCTGAACCAACTCACAGCTTTCAGAGGAGATTGATCTGAAGGTAGCATTTCTAATATAGTGAAAGTAATCTACACTGACACTTAGGTCAGAGAAGAAACTCAGTGGCCTGGCTGAAAAGGCTGCCCATCACCTGTCCTGTCCCCCACTCCAACCTCCTTTCCCCTTTGTGTCATACATTCCAATCATTCTGATCTACTCTGTTGTCTGAATGTGCTAGCCTGGTTCATAGCTACATGTTTTCATGCCGTATTTTCCCTCTATCTGCAATGTACCTTCTAACATTCCTCTATAACACCTGAAAAATTCCTTCTGATTCTTTAAGATCCAGGGCCTCTGTAAAGCCTGTTCCAACCCTCTCAAAATAGGGCTGCTGAAACCCTACTCTAACTTGTACGCACTTCTATGATAGACTTACCACATTATTAACAACAGCAACTAACAGTGCAAAGCTCTTTTCTAAGCACTTTAATGTTACTCATCCATCTAATCTTCTCAATACCCACGGGGTGAGTATACTGTTCTAGCATTTTACAGGCAAGGAAACTGAGGCACAGAGAGGTAAAGTACACTCAATTATTTGCTTTACACCCATTACCTCTCTATCAGACTATGAATTTCTTGAGGGCAAAGAATATAACTTACCTATTACTGGGGTCTAGCACAGTACCTGACACATAAGTATTAGATAAATATTTGAATGAATGAACAATTATATTGAAATGTACAATTTAGGCTGAACTCCTAAGTATTAATATTTCATGTAAGGTCCTTTAAAAAAAAATACAGTGAGCCAGGTGCAGGGCTTGCACCTGTAATCCCAGTTATTTGCGAGGCTGAGGTGGGAGTCGCTTGAGCCCAGGAGTCTGAGGCTTTAGTGAGCTTATGATTGTGCCACTACACTCTACCCTGGGTGACAGAGTGAGACCCCATCTCTAAACAAAACAAAAACATAGAGTGTTCTGTCACTTTCAACCTAGGATGGACTAAAACTACTCTTCACCAAGAGCTCAGAATCTGAATACTCACTTTCTGCCCTTTCCCTACATGCCTATTATTTTGGGGTAACCCAAATTTGAAAAAGCAAAAGAACTCTTTGAAGAAATATTTGAAACAAATGACCTCTGAACTGTAATATGGAATATATGGTGGGTAGAATTATGACACTGAAACCTTGCTAGTAAAGTGTTATGAAACAGAAATCAACAACTTGGTGATTAAGAGCACAGACCTTTAACTTCAGATAAATCTACATTCGAGTCCCACTTATTCGTTATACAACCCTGACTGGGCAAGTTACTTACAAGTTAATCTCAGTTTCCTTTTCTCTAAAATAGGGATAACAGTAAAATTTATATTATAAATACTTAATGCTTGGGTATGGGATAAGCCTTCAATAAATTTTAGCCATTATTGTTTTCATTATCTTCCACCTTGGATCCTATACACTTAGTTTAATTACTGATGTACAAAAAAATTATAAATTTTTCTTCTTAGGGTGACCCCATAACAAAGAATCTCCAAAATAATATTATAATAAAGCTTATATAAATCACAATATTAAAAATTCTTCTGATTTACAAAAACACATCCTTACCTTGTTTGGTGAATAAATATCATCTTGAAATAGTTAGAAAAGGCAGCAAGCACTGCTCTGTGGGCTTTGAAGTAAACATCTCCAATAGCAACTGTGCAATCACACAGAAAACCAAATTCTCGCTGCATGTTCAGCTGCTGCAAAAGGACAAGGCTATGGCTAGCAGTGTCCATTGTGGCTCTGAGAAAAAGGACAACATAAATACATATGTGTGTGTATGTATATATATATTTTTTTACAAAATTGCCTACAGTTCACACAAATCTATAAAATTGCAAGGAGACCTAAGTTTAAATAAAATTATCCAACACTTCCAAATACTGTTATTTTTACCTCAAACCTAGTTAACATTAAAACCCCCCATTATGACAACTTATATAAACTCTGCTGAACTGTAAAATATGACCCTTTTTCATCTGGTAAGAAGGTAGCTTGGTATGAGTGACGTATGAACAAAAGGAAGGCCTGTCCTTTCCTATGTATATGACCACAATGTTTCTAATCCTGCTTCCTCATTGGAAAAATGGAAACAAGATAACTGATCCCTGCCTCAGAGTTAAATGAGACAACGTCTGTGAAAATCATGTTGTAAGAGAAACTACTACTCAAATGTTAAGCTATAAATGTTAATAACAAAACAGGGTGTCTTGGCTGGGCTAGAGCTGTCACTGCTCCTTAGGGATCCTCTGGTGCTCAGGGGACACAGGCTTCCTGATTATCATAAAATATTAGGGGGACTTACCAGTCACAGTAGCTCAGGAATCCTTAAAATAGATGTTAAACCACATCCCCTGATTTACATGGGGCCCAGGAGCCTCATGAGAAAGAACTTAAATCCTGATCTCAACAACTTCAGACATACATAAATACATAGGTTCCCAAAGGAAGTAGAAGGCAGGATGGAACAATTGGGTCTCAGGGGGAAAATCCTACATGAGGCAGAATATGCAGACTTCTGGCCAAGAGGCCTACTATGAGCAGCAAGGACATTCAGGAGTGCCCTAGTTTCAGGCAGGTGGGAGACTATACTTCATTATCTTCTCTACCCTAGCTGTGCAGAGAGCCCTGATGCTTTAGGGAGAAGACAGGTGTAGAATAAAAGGCATCATTGGGTGGTTGGGAGAACATCCTCTGAAAGAGCAGACTCTGAAAAAGAGAATGAGGTTCCCTCACTAGCCAAAGAGACCAAGGTCTAAGGAGGACAGTGGTAGAGTATGGGGTTAGCCATCTGAAGACTGGCAGTAGCCTGGGTAGCAGACAGTTGAGGGATTGATAATATGATAAAAATAGCTAATATTTTATAGTGCTTCCTACATGTTAGGCACTTTTCACTCGTTTAATTCTCAGTATAACTCTGGGAATACTAAATGCCTCTTACAGATGAAGGAGCTGAATAAACACAGAGAGTTCAAGTAATTTACTTAAGGTCACACTGATAGTAAGTGGCAAAGCAGGGGATTCAAACCCAGGCGACTCAGGTCCAGAGCCCAAATTTCATTCCTCCCCACCTCCCAAAGGGAATATGACCCACAAACTGGAGAAACCTAGGGAACAGAAGGGTTACACATGAAGACACCCATGGGGCCAGGCAGTGGCTCATGCCTGTAATCCCAGCACAATGGGAGGCAGAGGTGGAAAGACTGCTTAAGGCCAGAAGTTTGAGACCAGCCTGCGCAACATAGCAAGACTCCATCTCTACAAAAAATAAAACAATTAGCCAGACATGGTGGTGCATGCCTGTAGTTCTAGCAGCTAGGGAAGCTGAGGCAGGAGGATTGCTTGAGCCCAAGAATTTGAGGTTGCAGTGAGCTATGATCGCCACTGTACTCTAGCCTAGGCAACAGAGCAAGACCCTGTCTCAAAACAAAAACCAAAAAGCATTACAAACATGGTAGAAGCTCCCTCACATCTCTCCCTCATTCTATCCTCCCACCCACCTTGCCTCCAAAGTAACCACCATCCTGAACTTGGTGTTTATGACTCTCTTGTACATCATTATATTCTTACTGCTAGGTATATAACATTTAAGAAGGTAGAGTACTGTTTTGTGTGTTTTAAAATTTTAAGTAAGTAATACTGTACTTTAGGAATCCTGCACTTAACTCTGCATTGATGCATTATTTTAAACACTACTTCTTCAAACGTCATAGTTTTCCTCATTCCTCTTCCAATTAAAAAAAATAAAACTCTTACCCCTTACCACCTCATTTTTAAAAGACTTTAAGCAGCAATAAAATAAGAAATAACAAGATAACAGAAACTACAGACTTGAACCTATCCTCTAGGAATATAAAAAAAAATCCAAATTGTGAGTATTGTTCCAAGAGGCCATTTAACTAAAAGTCACCTACTCATTGTACTTAACACATTTCCCTGATTCTAAAACACCATCAATTTACAGGGATTTAAAAAAAAAAAAAAACCCTCTATGTAGGAAATTTCAGTATGTGAAAAACATGTCTTAGAATCAATGAAAGGGTTCAAATTGAAGTACCTTAAAGTAGCCTTACAAATTGTCTCAAAAAAACTAAACCCTCAGATCATAAACATTTTTAGCAGCTCTTTCTATTCTATATTATGTGTTAGTATAATGAACTATTAAACCATATGGAAATGAGAAACAGCACGCCAATAAGCCAAAAATCTTATGGTTAATGGTCCATAAGTAACAGTTAAATTCTTCACTTACTCAACAAATATTTTTAAACAGAAATTTAAAAAAGAAAAAATATTTGAAAGCACGCATTGTACAGGCATAGAGATAGAAAAATAAAACGACAGGTGCTATACTCAAGATTACAGGCTCACAGGGAAGGCAGAACATCAAACATCAATTATAAGATGAAGCAAAAGCACTGAGTGTCACAGAGCAGTTCAGAAAACATTCTGTAATGGGGAGATAAATACAGGCGACCTGATGGAAAATAAGGCCTTTCAATTGGATTTACATGAACAGGCAGAAAAAAATGGAATGAGTAAACTTAATGGGAGGGGTATAAATATTAGATAACAGAAGAATTCAGTTTGGCATAGAAAAAACCAAAGTAAGCAGAAGGAAATAACAAAAGATGGCATCAGCTCACAGAGGGTACTAAATGTAAAAGGTACTGCAGTTGTGTTTAAAGTGAACTGTGTAAGATGTTTGAGTGAGAACGGCATGATTAGTTACTTACTCTGTAGGAGGGAGAACAGTACAGTAGTTAAAGCTTGGACTCGGGAATCAACTTAAAATTCCAGCTCTGCTATTTACTGGCTGTGTGGTCTTCAGATACAACACTACGTCTGTTTCACTTATAAAAAATGGTTAAAGACAGTATCTACCTTATAGGTTGTTATATGGATTTAATAAGACAATGCATAGAAGCATTTAGAAATGGTGGGGCCCATAGCAAGTGTTCAATAAAAGCCAGTTATCATCATCATCACCATCAAAAGAAGGCCTGTGAGTCAATACTGCTCAAGTAGCAACACAAAAAGCATTAGTAAGGGAAAGGCATAGAAAAAGGAAGACTGGCTAGGAGCTTACTGCAATATCCAAGTAATGGCAGTGGGAATGAAGGAAGGAATGCAAGAAATACATCAGACACAAAACATGACTTGGCAGCAGATTGGATGTGGTCAGCCACACGAAGATCAAGTCAAAGGTGAGTCTCAGAATTCCACCTTGGATAACTGGAGGAATTCATCCACTCCTTCATATCATATTTGCACAGTAACTGCCATGTGCAAGCTATTGATGTAAAGGCAGGGTCCCAGAAAGCCAGAGAAGAGGCATAGAAACTGGCTTGGTAAGAGAGGTTTCACTTTGGCCACAGAGAGTTCCAGGTGTCTACCCAAGGACATCTGAGTAGAAATGTTTAGTGATCACAGTGGCTCAGTAAGTGGGACTGGGCTCTGGAGAGAGCAGGGATATAGAGGGAGATAAGGCCTCTGAAATGACAAGGCTGAAGTAACCAAGTACAGATGGGACTATGAAATAAGAGGGAAAAAAAGCTAAGAATGAATTTCTGGAAAGCACAGAAAAGACACAATAAGACAGAAGAAGAGAAATAAGAAAACATATTGTCATTGAGGAAAGGCGAGGGAGGTGAAGGAGAGGCAAGAACCTTGTAGGAAGGAAATGGCAATGGCACAAAATAGTGAAGAGAAACACGGTGGTGAGGCCCCTTATAAACACCCTCAAGTGTGGTGAGCAAGACATTCCAAGTGATCTCTGACAACAGTTCAGGAAAGCAGTGAGGGTAAAATATCTGACTAAAGGGGGTGTTAGGAACCAGAGCGTAGGCACAGACAGGACAGGACATTGAGGAAGCTACAGATCAAAGGAAGACCTTTCAGCAGCAGTCTCTAGAAGCCAGAAGCGATGCAATCAAAAGTGTAAGTGTAGCAGTTAGCTGTGAAGAAAAGAGGGATCTCTTTTTCTGACAGTGGAAAAGAGATGAATGAGATAATGAAAAAGAATCTGAGAGTACTCTTTTAGATGGCATTGATTTATAAACTATGAAGTCAGTCCATATGTAAAGGGGGGGAGTTTAGGCCGTGAAAAAAACCTGGAGTAATAAACCCTGACACTCATATAGAACACTGAAGTTTACAGAGAACTTTCATATACACCAATTTTATTTCTCCTTCTGTTTCAGATTAGATATTTTCTACTAATCTATCTTCAAATTCACTGAGTCCTCTGTCAATTCTAATCTGTTAAACCCATTCAGGGATGTTTTGTTTCAGATATATTTTCAGGTCTAAAATTTTCATTTCATTCTTTTTTAAAGTTTCTATTTCTCTGCTTTATATCCTTGAGCATACGTATTATAGCTGCTTTAAATTTTCTCTGCTAAATCCAATCTTTGGGTCATTTTGGGGTCAATCTCTATTGATTAGGGTGATGGTTTCCTGTCTATAGTCATCTCAGATTATATCCTAGACATTGTAATTAATATAGTTGACTCTAGATTCTGTAATATTCCTTCTAAGAGTGTTGATGTTTTTGTTTTTGCAGACAATTAACCTGGCTGGACTTAAACTCCAAGTTCTGCCTCCCCTATGGTGGACAGAAGCTGAAATCTGTTCCTTTTAGCCTTAGGTGTGCTGTTTGGAGGCTGCTCCATACATGTACAGTTCAGGGGTTTGCAAGAGATTCAAGCATAGGTTATAAACAGTATTTGTGATTATGCCAC